CTTATCCCCCTCTGCAAGAGTTTGTGCCCTTTGGAGGGAAAAAAAAAAAAAAAAAAAAAAAAAAGAAGGAAATGGGAAGCTGGAGCCGGACGGTGGTGCGGTGGTCATGAGGCACTCTCTGAGGTTGCCCCACTCAGGCGGGTGCTGACTTTGTATCCAGAGACCTCCCTAAACATGCTGGCACACGCATGCCCGTAACTGGGGGCTAGCTGAGGCTGAGAGTAGTGTGAGAACTCTGGTGGGGTGCTGTCTTGCTTCCTTTTCACTCATGGAAGAAAAAAAGAAACTTTAAAAAGCAAAGAAGAGGGTCCCGGAGGTGTCATAGTGGTTAAGGCGCTGAGTCCTACGTGGCCCACAGCGTGGGTCGAGTCCTGGACCTAGCAGCTTGAAAAGCACAGTAGGCATGTCTGTGTGCGTGTGCCCCAAATTCCAAGAGAATATGAGAGAAGGGACTGTGGCATGGCCAGCCGCCCTGGAGGGTGATTTTTCACTTTCTCTGTCTCTTTCTAGCAAGTGCACATGCCCTATGGCAAAAAAAGAAAAAGAAAGAAAGAAAAAATAGGGGAGGTACTTCTAGCCCTTTCGAATCAGACACTTTTGAAAGTGCAACAAAAAATGGGGGATCCACCCCAGAAAAATGCACTTGCACTCCTCCCTCGATGCATAAGACACTTTGAGACATCTCCGGGCTCTACGTTTAAAATACTGGCCTTGCAGTTTGTCTCCTGGGAACTGGAAAAAAGATTAAAAAGCACCAGATGCTGGAAAACTTCTGCTTAGTGGAAAAATGTTCCATTCACTGCCTACCCCCTTTGCCCTTGGAGAGCTAAGGCTGGCGTGGTGGGACTCCCTCCCCACAGACAGAGCAGCCCTGAGAGGAGGGGCAGCAGAGAACAAGCTCCCTGCCTCACATCCTCCTTCCCCCAGTGAGCACCCGTGAGCTTGGGTGGCGAGTGCAGTGTGAACACAACCACCATGTCCCCATCTTCTCCCAAGGCATCCCTGGCCCCCCAGCAACCCTTCCACCCCAGCCAGGCCCCAGAAAGGAGGCCACACACAGGTCGGTTGGTCAGCAGTGGTTATTGCACCATTGGCAAATAATGAAATGTGTGTACATTAGCGACAACCACAGGGTCAGCCAGACAGCCCTCAAGTACCTGAACCGAGTCCATCACATTCTTCACAGGAGGGGGATAAACAGGAGGACACACACACAGACACACACACACACACTCACACATCACAGAATGGAAAGCAATAAATTATTGGCCTTGTTCCTGCTGGATCCTAAGAAAAGGCACAGTTAAAGAGCAAAGCCTCTCCCCAAGTCACTTCCTGGGTCTCCGGGGTGGGCTCCTCCGTCAGGCAGTAGGCAGCCCATACGGGAGGCCTGAGCCAAACTGCCCCTGCCTAGGAAGTGAGTTTAAATATTTGGCTTCTTACCAGAGAAGAACTATTTACAGGGGCAGTGGCCATACCAGCCTCAGAGGGATGAGACTCATCCAGGTCTATGGAAAGTGTCACACGCCTCAGGGGGAGGCGCCAGAGCACAGCACAGGCAGCAGGTAAGCCCGGCTGCAAGGCAGGCATTCATTCTCCCAAACTAAGAGGGATAGCCTTTCTGAGGGCCCTGGGCAGAAGTTCCTATGAGCCCAGGTTTGGGAGAGTAAGCCAAGTTCCTCCCCACGACCCACATGGCTTCCCTCTCTCCCAGGAGTCAGTCAACCTATGGAGTTCAAGGCCTGGAACTTCTCTCGCAGGTTTCTCACTCTGCCCTGCTGGCTCAGGTCCGCTGAGTCCCTGGAGCCCTCTTCCTTTGGTGGATGCTCTGCAGATTCCTGGAAATCCTGGCCCTGGCCCACCTCAGTAACCGGGGAGCTTGGTCCCTGCCCACTGCCCTCCTCCTCCAGCCTCACAACATGGCTGGGAAGGGGCTCCTTCTCCATGACAATCACCCGCCGGTTGTTCTCCAGGGTGAGGTCTGCGGTGACATACAGGGCCTCGCTGCCCCCTTCCGGCCCACTCTGGGGTAGTGGCCCAGGAGGCTGGGGCTGAGCGGCCTCTCCCCTGCCCTGTCCCGTCTTTGTGTTCAGGCTGCAGCAGCGACCCACCCTGCCTGCCAGAGGGGGCTGCACCATGTTGTCGGGCACCGAGCGGCTGCGGTTGACAGGCAGGCCGCGAGGTCGACAGCCCTGGGCTTGGAGTGCCTCATCCTGGGAAGCGTACTTGGAGCAGAGCTCGCGGACATCAGGCCAGTGGAAAGTCTCAGTGTCGAAAGCGCTGAGGGGGCTGCGGGAAGAGGGCCGGGCCCCAGGAGATGTGGTCCTTGGGCTGGCAGCAGAAGGGCTGAAGGAGAAACGCCGTGGCGAGGTCGCCCCAGCAGAAGAGGGCTTGGGGGGGCTATGGTCCCGGATCACCAGCTGCTCGTAGTTGAGGAGGGACAGCACCGGCTTTCTCTTACCTAGGAGGGGAGAGAGCTGCCTGAGTCACTGGGCAGGAGGAGAGGGCAACCAGGGAGAGCTCTGAACCATCTCCAATCACTGCCCAGATCAGTGTTAAAGCTGGGTCAGGGGCTTGGGGTGTGCGGGAGAGAAATCTCACTAGCCAAACACTGCCCCATGATCAAAGGGCAATGGGAAGGATGAAGAGGAGCCAGGAGTCAAAGAAGAGATGAGAATATGTGTAGAGGGGCCTGGTAGAAGGGCCAGGGGCCACGCTGCCTCCAAAGGCCTCTGTGATGGGGAGAGGCAGGAGAAGGGAGTGCAGGCTTGGCCTGCGTGTCAGACCACGCCTCTGGGCTCAGGGTCTAGCCCGTCTCTCTGGAAGAGGTTCTTTAGAGGTCACTTTCCCCAGGAGCCAAAAAAACTCATCGGGCTTTGGTCCCCTAAACTCCCCAGGGTCACTCCCGCCCCTTCTCACCTTTGCCACCTGATGGCTCGCCTGCCTTCCCCTGTAGGCAAGGAATGGTAGGGCTCTTTCTGTCCCTCTCCGGGGAAGCCTTTTCCCAGTGCAGAGGTGGCCGAGCCATCACTGGCTTGTTGCTCTTGATCCGGAGGCTGTACTGACGGGCCAGCTGGTAGACCTTGTTCTTGACACGCTCACTCACGTGGCTGTCCATCACATGGGACAGCTGCACGATGCGGGGGTGCAGTGGGGTGACCAGCTCCCCCTGGGCACCACTGCTCAGCTCCTTCACCAGCTCCTTCAGCTCCCGGGCCAGGTGGGCTGGGCTGGGCCTCTCAGTTGGGGAGGCACTTTCTGGGGAGGCGGTGGCCGATTCCTCTGTGATGGCCCCCAGCTCGTGCTCCTCCAGGATGAAGAGGGGCTCATGCAGGTCAAAGCCATTGGCCTGGCCCTGGCCTGGCCCCTTCTGAGGGCTCCTCCCAGATAACTCCATTCCCTCCCAGAGCTTCACAATTTCCGAGGACGGACGGAACTCAGCATCTGTGATAGGAGCTGGGTCCCCCGAGTCTGCCTGGCTTGGTCCTGGGAGGTCAAACAGGGCCCATGAAGATGGCCGGGAGCCCACCTGTCTCTTGGGTCCCACTGGTGCCATCGGCTCTGGGTCTGGCCTGGGAAGGCTGTTGAACCTGGAGACAGAGTTTCTCACCAGCCCTTTGGGGATGTAGGAGAGGCTCTCCCGCCGCCGGACGCTGAAGCCTGCGTCATGGTGTTCCGCATTCTCGTAGTAGCTCTTGATTTTGTCCAGCAACAGTCGGTCTCGCGTAGAGAGCACCGATTCCTTCTTTTTACAGGAAGACCTGTCAGGTTCCACCAGACAGCCTGGGCCTGGGCTTGGGGGCTCTGTCCCATTGACAGAAGGGCCACTCTCTGTGGCCACCCCCACGCTAGTATCCACTTCTGGGGGCGGCTGAGGGCTGAGGGAGTCTGTGATGCTGCCACGCCGGGCGGGGCCCTTCTCACTGCCCTCAAGGCTGAGCACACTGCTGCTCCGGCTGATCAGCCGCGGGGTCCCAAAGCCACTGGACTTGCCATCCTCCAGTGCCAGGCTGCTCCGCCGCGAGAAGCTGCTAACAAACCGCTCAGCAATGACACTGGCCTGGTCTAGCACGGAGGGTGGCAGAAGGCTCTCAGGCTCCTGGGCAGTCCCCATTTCTTCCTCCTCCTCACTGCTCAGGGCCTTAAGGTCCTCGGTGCTCTCGGCCACTACGAAATCCACCATGTCACCTGGGTGGTCCATCAGCAGCCCCTGGTGGGTGTCAAGCTGTGTTTCCTGGACTACTGGAGACTCTGGGTCTGAAGGCATCTCCTCAGTGCTGGGACCTTCCATGGCAGCAAATACATCCTGCTCCGTCCCAGGCTCGGGGTCTGGCTCAACCTGGGACACAGCACAGAAAGTTCATGTGAGTAAAAAATATCTCCATGAGACCCAAGGGAGAAGCAGACAGCACGGTCTCCTCAAAGCCCAGCAAGAGTGACCTCCAGTTTAGGACTGAAGGCAATCTGAATGAGTACGACTCAGATCCCTAGAGAGAGGGACATGATTGTGTGCTTTCGCCACCCCGCAGCTGGCAGGCTGGGGCCGTGTCCTCAAACCCAAGGAAAAAGCTAGGGGTAGGGTAGGGCCATGGCACTCTGCCTGACAACTAGAGGGACAAGGTGGGAACCTAATTCTGCTGGGTCAGGCCAGCTCACGAAGGCACCCCAGAGAGCCACAGTGCCAGGTCTGCCCTGCCTGATGGTAAAGCAGCTTCATATGGGAGTTCTGGGGTTCACACTCAGGCCAGAGCAAACCAAGAGGCCAATCCAACTGCCCTGAGGGACCAGGGCCTCCCAGGGGCTCCCAGGGCCTCCCAGGGCCTCTGGTCAGGGTCCAGAGGGTAATAGAACTGCATGTTGGAATCCCGTCCAGGGTGAAGACTGGAAACTTGGCTCCTGCCAGCCATCCTGAGGCCCTATGGGCACAGCAAGGTAACACATGCCCAGCAGAGAGACGAGGAAGGAAGCAAATCTGAGAATTTTCCTCTGGGGCTGGCCCCGCAGTGCAGCAATTAAGCCTGTGCATAGGGAACCAGATCCCACATGGTAAACAGCAAGTTGAATCCCAGGCCTGGCACCTTGAGAAACAAACCAGGTACACACATATGGGCCTCTCTCTCTTTCTCTCACAAGCCCTCTGACAACTTTAAAAAAAAAAAAAAAAAAAAAAAAAAGGAGAAAAGAGTAAAGTTCTCTATTGACCACCTTGAAAGTAATTTGAACCTGGCTAGCACAGGCAGCTTTCCAAAGACATCTTTAGGGAAAAGATAAGAGCAAATACTCTAAATTCTGAGGATTGTGACTTGATTCCATCTGTTCTAGTCCAAAATCTGCAGGGCAGGACCCATGATCTAGATCTGTATTGCTCAACACGGTAGCCACTGGTCACATGTGGCTTTCTGAGCATTTGAGCAAGTCCAAATCAAGACCTGCTATAAGGGTGAAACACACATAAGATTGCAAAGAATTTGTGCTAGAAACAAGCATGAAATACATCAATAACTTTTTATACCAATGTCATATTAAAATAGTATTTTGGACATCCTGGGTTAAATATTGCAACCAGCAGTTAGCGTAATGGCTATGTCACTAGACTCCCACGTAGTCAACCACAGTTCGCGTCCCAGACCTGGTGGCTTAAACTCATGCCAGGCACGTGTGTGTGCGTGCCCAAGATCTCGAGAGGAGAATGGAGGAGAAGGGATTGCGGCGTGGCCATCCCCCCTGGGGGGGGTGATTTCTTGCTTTCTGTCTCTCTATCTCTCTCTCTCTGTCTGTCTGGTGAGCACACATGCCCTATGGCAAAAACCTCTCCACCCCTCCAAAAAAAAAAATTGAGTTGTCAGGAAAATTATGATGTATTTTTCTATGTTTTTCTATGCAAAAACATGTCAGGACTTTTCCAACAACCCCATGAAATAGACACCTAAAATTAATTCCATCTGTTTTATTTTATTATTTTTTACCCTGGCTACAAGAAAATTTAAATTACATAGTGAATCCTATTACTAGATAGCACCACTTGCTGTGATCTGAATGTCAGTGTCCCCTCAAAATTCCTGTGATGGAACCTAATATTCAGTGTGATAGTATTAAGAGGTAGAGCCTTGTGACCAGTAGGTGGCATAGTGGTTAAGGTACTAGACTCCCACATGGCCAACCACAATTCAAGTCCTAGACCCAGCAGCTTGAAAATCACATCAGGCACGTGTACATGCAAATCTAAAATCTCAGGAGGAGATTGGATAAGAAATTGCAGCATGGTCGTCGCCCCCACTCCCCAGGAGCTGATTTCTCACTTTCCCTCTCACTGTCTCTCTAAAACCTTAAAAAAAAAAAAAAAGGTAGGGCCTTTGGGAAGCAATTAACTCACAAGGGTGAGTTAATCCCATCAATGGGATTAGTGCCCTTATAAAGCTCCCTGGCCCCTTCCACCATGTTGAACACAAGAAGCAGAATGAGCCCTCACCACATACTGACATGCTGACATCGTGACCTCGGACTGCTCAGCCTCCAGAAGAGCAATGCACTTCTGCAGTGTATGAGCTACCCAGTCTGAGGCGTTCTGTTACCGCACCCAGGAAAGAAGACAGGACACCACACTCCTATCCAGTGTCATCCGGGCCTTGTCCTGGCTGACTTCCAACCTGGGGTCGAGCCTTAGCCGAGACCTTTTCCTTGATTCTTTGGGAAAGCAAAGTACTCGGATCCGCACGATGCACAGACAGCATGGAGTAGCAGGAAAGGGAAGAGTGGGCCTTTGAGTCAGACTCTGGCCTGATTTCTTATCCAGTCTCCTCCTGAGATTTTAGATATGCATGTACACGTGCCTGATGTGATCTTCAAGCTGCTGGGTTCAGCTGCCCAGTATCAGACATGCCACTCAACTTCTCAGAGCCTCTGTTTCCTTCTAAGCTATGTTCCGGAATAGAAAGAAAACACCAGACGTGTAGGCAATATCCAATAGATATCAATGTCCTACCTCTTTGGCCAAGTGGCCATGGGCATGATTTAAATGCCTGGTTTGCTGGCAGGAGCAGGGCCCTGTGCCCAGTGCAAGGTGACCTAGCCAAGGAGGCCTAAAATCTGTCTGGCTCACTCCCACTATCTGTTCCCTTGGCACAGGGAGGCATCTGCCCAAAGAAGCACATTTTCCTTGTTTTAGAAAGGGATTTATCTGTTCATCAAACCATGCACTGCTAGTCCAGGCTTCCTGAAGGAGTAAGAGTCGTGAGGAGTGGGAAATTGGTATTCCCATGAGCCCGATAGGAGAATCCATGCCTGTAAGCCCCAGGCATGGAGATCCGGGTTCCAGGAACCTCTGTGCTCCCCCTCACCCACCTGCTGGCACTCACCTCTGGCAGGGAAGAGATAGACTCAAAGCTCATGCGCTTCTCAGAACTGCTTGGAGACCGGCTACTGGGCCTTCTACAGCTCTTGGGGCCTTCAGAGTCCCTGCGTCCCTTCCCCTGCAGAAGAGACAGTCAGGTATTAATTCCAGGATCCTCAGGTACTAGTCTCCCCCTGCATTCCAATATGGGTGGTGCTTCCCATTCCCAAAGGAACTGGGCTGTGCTGAGAACCAGCCTTGGCCCTGAGTCATTCCAAAGTGAACCTGAACTGCCAAGCCTGGAGTTGCAGAATTCCTTGCCAGATGCAGTTTCAGGAGAGCCCAACCCACCTCCCCACTTCCAGGTCAAGTGGATTTGACCATTCCAGCCCCATTGTGTGCTAGCTTCTCTCCTCCCGCCCCCAATTAGCCATGCACACTGGGTAGTATACTGGTTAGTGTCCAGTACTGGAACAGCACATGCCAGGGGCTCACCAGGGCATAACAGCCAGCAGGAGGGGTTAAGTTTTGCTGATAGCAGGAGTAAAGGAACTGGGACAGTGCTGGAAAGGGATTCTCAGATGGGCATGCACGTGCCAGGGAACATGCAAGGAGGAGGGGAGATCAAAGAGACACCTCACCATAGCACCCCGGGAGAATAGTAAAGCGTTGGCCCGATAGTGCCAGCAGTGGAGTGCGGCCAGCAGGGAACTGGCAAAGTCGGCTACCTGCTCCGCCACTGCCAGGTTCTCCTCCTCCTCCTCCTCCTCCTCCTCCTCCTCCTCTGAGCCTGGGGGCTCTGGCCCGGCCCCCTTCTTGTTGCCTTCACACCCTTCCAGGTCCTCCAAAGTGACCTGAAAGGCCTGCTCTTCCTCCTCCTCCTCCTCCACCACCTCCTCCTCCTCTTCCTCTTGCTCCTTCTGGGCAGCCCCTTTGGCCTCCGGCTGCATGCCCCGAGTACGGGGGTGCTGCCCAAAGTCCAGGAGGGCGCCGGTGCTGCCTGCATGCTGTTCAGAGCACAAGGCCCCCTCGTGACCAGCCTCCTGGGCAACCTCCCCTCCTCCTGCAGGCAGCTGGGGTGGGGGGGCTCCCCGTGGGAAGCCACGTGTAGACACCCATCCCCAGGTCTCCACTGGGGTGCAGTAAGGAGCAGCATGTTCTGATGGTGGGAAGGCTGGGGCCTGGTCAGGAACTCAGGACCCAGAGACCTGCTTGCTCCAGAAAGGGGCCAGTGAGAGGGGATCCAGATTGGGTAGACACTGGCAGGCCATTCAGGGAAAAGGGAACAGAAGGGCCCCGGGGACAAGGGCCAGGTCTATTCATCTCTGTGACCCCAGTGCCACAGAGCCTGGCACACAGCAGGTATTCGTTGGCTGGATGAAGATAATGTGAGCTGAAAGGGTCAGGAGGATGACCTGGGCTGTCCCCCACCCTCTGCCCAACCACTCCCCACCTTCCCCTGGCCCCTGCTGCCCACTGGCCCTTTTGCTGCTCTGGCTGCTAACGCCATCGCCAGGTCCCCAGCACATGGAAAAAGGGCAGGGGAGGGGAAGACACCGATAAGTAGGAGAAAGAGCATCTTCACAGAGGCTTCCCCCCAGGGAAGGCCCCACTAGGGACTCCTACTCCCAGAAGGCCCAGCCAATCTCCTGGGCTTTCAAAGTAACCGACATGAACGGAGCCTGGGGCTGCAGAGCCTGCAGGTCCATGCAGGTTGCTCGGGTCCCTGCTTGGCTCCTGCTGTTGCCCCAGGAGAGGGTGCAAGGCAAGGACCTTCCTCAGAGGGCAGGAGTGAGGCTCTCAAAGAGGGTAGAGTGGCGACAGAGCCCTCTCTCAACTCTTCTGACAGCCATCCCCCCCCCCAGGTTGTTACCTGCTTCGTCTTCCTGCCCCCCCACCCTAGAGCTCACCCAGAGTGGCTGTCCGCCCACCGCCTGCTCTCACCTTTCTCGCTGAGTTGCCTGAGCAGGTGTCGGGTCGGCTCTGAGGATGGAAGGAAGCAAATGACAGAGTCAGCACAGGCCAACAGCTGGGCCTAGCCCCGGCGCCCCCCAGTGCCACTGGCCCATTACCAGCTCAAAGTCCATGAGGGCCTTGGGAGGCTGCCCCATACGGTGTCCCCGAGCCCCTTCCGCCTACCCAACACGGAGGCAGGACCAGGCCACTCCTCTCCAGGAAGCGGACCTGGCTGCGACTGCCAGCCCTGCAGGAGCAGCCCTGCTCCTGGTCCCTGCATTCGCATAACCAACCACAGGCCCTCCAGCTCCACCCAGGCTGGAGCCACGGCAGGGGACTGATTCCTCGGCAAGAGCATATCCATGAAAGGTGCACACAGATAGCATGCACACACTGTCTGCAGCAACAAAACGGAGCTCCCAGTTATTTTTAAAATCAGAAATAGGAAATGATCTCTTCTTTCATTCCAAATATCCATACAGTGTGCTCGTGTGCCCTTCCGGCTCTCTGGAAGAAGGGGGCAGAAAAGGCCTTGAGCAGACCTCAGTCAGAGTAGATGGCCAAGCCCAGGCACCAAAGCTGGTGTGGGTGACCCAAGTCCTCCCTCTCGGCAAATCCCTGCTCCATTGCAAAACACGCTTCTCATGAGTTTGACTAAGCGCTGTCTAACAGAAGGGGAAGAAGGGCTACTGCAGGCAAGCATGCTAAGACCAATGACAGCAAACACTTTCCAGTGTTACAGGAGAGCTGTAAGGATGGACGCGACACCACAAATGCAGCCTGTCTCCATGGCCACTTCCGGCCACAGACGCCAGGGCCCCAGGAACATCTGGCAGTTCCCACAGCATAGCCATGGTGCCCTAACACTGACTCCAGGAAAGGACAAGTTCAGCCATGGACAGCACGCACTATTTTAAAAGCCTCAAGAGGGCGTCTGGCAGGTGGCTTGGTGGTTGGAGAACTAGACTCCCACATGGCCAACTGCTGTTCAAGTCCTGGACCTAGAGGCTTGCTTTCCTACTTTCCCTTTTTCTCTCTCTGGTCAAATTAAACAAATAATAATAAAGATAACAAATGAAATAAAATAATTCTTAAAAAACAAAAGCCTCGGGGAACCAGCAGTTAGCGTAATGGCTATGTCGCTGGACTCCCACGTAGTCGACCGCGGTTCGTGTCCCAGACCCGGTGGCTTAAAACTCACGTCGGACGCGTGTGTGTGCATGCCCAAGATCCCAAGAGGAGAATGGAGGAGAAGGGATTGCGGCATGGCCATCCCCTCTTGGGGGGGTGATTTCTCGCTTTCTGTCTCTCTGTCTCTCTCTGTCTGTCTGGCAAGCGCATGTGCCCTATAGTAAAAAAATGTCTCCAAAACAAACAAACAAACAAAAGCCTCAAGAGGGGGCCAGCAGGTGGCACAGCAGTTAAGGTCCTAGACACCTACATGGCAGACCATGGTTCAAGCCTTGGGCCCAATAGCTTGAAACACCCCAGGCACATGTGTGTGTGTCCTATATCCCGAAAGGAGACTAGAGGAGAAGGAACTGCAGAGTGGACATCCCCTCAAGGGGGCGATTTCTCACTTTCTCTCTCTCTTTCTCCAGCGAGCGCATATGCCCCATAGCAAAAACCTCTCTTAAAAAAAGAAAAAAGGCTAAAGAGTATATATTATGTTTTAGAAAGGTGTCTAGTTTCCTAAGTTTAAACCAAAACACAAAAAGAAACAAACAAACAAACAAAAATACTCAACTTTTAGTACTTACGAACTAAAACCTCAGCCACCTGGAAATTTGAGCTTTCTAAAACAGCTCACTCCTGTGCCCTGGATAGCTATGGTGTTTTTTGGTTTGTTTATTTGGGGTTTTTTGGTAACATGTTTACTAAGCTCTAATTCACATCATACAATGTGCCTATTGAAAGGGTACCAGTCAGCGGCTTACAGTACATTCAGAGTTGTGCACCCACAGCTAAAGTTTTAATGCTACTATGACAACAGTGCTACTCTTACTGTCACCACACTGTCACTTGCTGAATACATCCATGTGTCAAAAGCTTCCAATTCCAAGTTATGGCAAGTTAAGGAAGAAAGAGGGCCAAGAAGAGAATACTAGAAGAAAGGATAGGGAAATAAAGAGACAAATAAAGTAACATTCCCAATTTAGGGCTGTTACCCACAAAACTTTACCCTGAAAGCAAGTTTGCCTGGGTTCAAGATCCACCTAGATCAATACCAAACAACATATAGCCGAAAACATTTTCTAGAGACCTTTCTGGCTCCATCTTCTAGAAAGCCAAAGCCTGCCTGTCAATCACACTAGGATTTAAGGAGGCCACAGGTCATGGCCAGTCAAAACCCAATGCACTTGCAAACCTGAACCAGGACATAGCCCTCAGCCACTCCCCAGGAATTTAAGACCTCTCTTAGCCCAACTCCCTCCGTACACATACAACTGGTAAGCACCTGGCTTAAGCCAGTCTGCTCCTGGGCCACAGAATGAATTGTCAAGTAAAAACAGATGCAGAAAACACACACCCACGCCCATCAGCACAGAGCTGAGAAACAAAAAGGTTTCTTTTTTTAAATGGACAACTTATTTCAGTAAATCTGAGAACACGGAACAAGTCTAGTAATGGAAGAAAACCCAAGGGAAGAAAATGGAACTTATTCCTGAGACCCAAAGTAAATATTTCCCGTCTGGATCTGGTGCCACTTGAAGTCTAACTCGTCTTCCCCACGTCCTACTTCTGCTCTGCCGTGCCAGACCTGGGCTGGGGACCAGCAATGACATCCATGTGGCTGACTTGGTGTTCCAAGTGGCAAAGGAGGGAGGTTTAGCTCAAAGGGGAAGTTAACGAAATAGGCAAACCTGACCTGAAAGTGGGGAGATGCCCAACTCCTGTGGGCAAGGGCCGGGAGGTGCCTCGTGGGGGGCAACATGAGCACAGGGACGGGACACTTGGTGGGTGTCCGCCACCCCTCCCTCCTGCCCTGTCCCAGGGTTTTTCCAAGAAGTGACAGTGATAGCCCAGACACTGCCGCAGATGGTCCCCCACCTGATCAGGGTCCTTTAAAATGGACTCTTGCTCACACAGCCCTTCCTTACCAGACTGCCGGCGCCCCTGGCGCACGTGGGTAGACACCTCGTCCTGGGAAGACCAAGCCTTCTTCAGCCGCTCTGGACTGCAGCGGTACCGATTGGGATCTGCACCCATGGGAGATACCATCAGGCTTTGGGCTCTCAATTGGCCTTGTCCACACTCTGTCACTCGCTCCAGCTCCAGGGGCCAGAAGCCCCCAGAGCTCCCTCTCTCCACCCGGCATCTTCTTCCACCTGGAGCCTTAGGCACTAAAAGTCCCCTTAGCAAGACCATGTCCCTAATCCAGCAGCTGAGCCCCAGCCCTTGACAGAAGGAGCCCCCCCACACACACACACCCACACCCCGTCCTCCCCGCTCCTGAAATAAAAGGATCAGCAAAGCTTCCCCAGGAAGCAGCCAGGCCTAGCAGTATGGAAGCGGCCAGGCCTAGTAGTGCGGAAGATGAAGGACCCAACAGGCAGGAGAGGGCACACTTACAATAGGCATCCATTTCCAGGATGGCTTCCTTGGCCTGCGAGAGAAGAGAGCCCATCTGGTGACCACCTTGCTGCACGCCATGCCGCGCTCACCCATGCCATGGCCCCTGCTACACCAGACACCCAGCCGTGCTACCCCGGGGCCTGTGGCAACTATTGTGCTGATGCCTTCCATCCAGCAGAGAGCCAGCCTCCAGAAGGTGGGGCCCCAGGAGCTCACCTTCTGGGGAATGGTGGCATGGTGGTTCTCCAAGATGAGCCTCTTGATGTGGTGAGTCCAGCTCCGTTTCTCCTCCACCGTCTTGGCCTGGAAAGACCCAAAAGAAAGGGGCCTGGGGGTTACAGTTACAGGCCTGCAGCTGTCTAGCATGGAAAATGCTTCGGTCTAGGGGAACGAGATAGCAGGAGGCCTGTGCTGGGGCCTCGGCAAGGTCCCCTTGGCTCGTGTCTCCACGCCCCCCAGAGGTGCCTGCAACGATCCCTGCTCTACAGATGGAGACGCCAGCCCTCACCTGGATGCTGTACTGCTGCTTGCTGTGCTTGTAGTGGGTGACGGTGAAGCACAGGGAGTCTCTGGTGCTTTCAATCAGCATCAGGGAGGAGCACTGGGCAGAGGGACAGGGCGGTCAAGCGTGGAAGCGGGGATCCCTCCCCACTCCTCCACACAGGCTGGGCCAGCACAGATGGTCATCTCAAAGATGGCACTGCAGAGATGAGAGAGCCTGGTTACCGGGATGTGATCCTTGTAGACAAAGTGGTCGCCCCGCCTCTTGGTGATGAGCAGTGTTTTGTCAAAAAGGAAGAAGGTCCTCTCGTTGCGCACGCGGTGCACGCGGAACGTGCCCTCAAGGACGAGCTCCCCGTAGGTGGTCAGGTCTGGCCCCTTCCAGTTGATGAGCAGTGACTGGACCTCCTGTAGCAGAGGGGGCACAAGGTCAGACCACCTGGGGGCCCAGGGGGCTCCCACAGACTCTGCCACAAAAGCTTCCCCAAGCTACCACCCAGCCACCCAGCAAGGTGGCTATACCCCATCTCAGGGCCCACTCTGCACCTCCCCCCAACCTCACCTGGAGCCGGACCGCGTGCTCGTGCCTCCGCTTCATGTCGTTGATGTACCAGGCCACGCAAGTCATGGTGTCGATGGCATCCTCCACCACCTCGAAGCCGTCCTCTTCTTCATCAAAATGTTTGGCAATTTCCTAGGTAGGAGACAATGTTTAGGCAAGCCGGCCAGGAGGCCTGGACGTACTGCCGCCCCCTGTATTGGGAGGACCTGGACTACCTGGAGCAGCAGGTGGTACTTGAGGATGCGCTGGACTGGCTTCAGCAGGTAGGAGCCCAAGGGCAGCGAGTGCTGCAGCAGCTCCTGCCGGTCCCGGAGGAACTTGGCCTGCTGCTTGTCCTGCATGCATTCCGTCAGGGCGGCCACAGAGCTGGAGTTGGGAGGAGGGGCTGTCACCACCCATGGAAGGCCTGGGAGGGGGCTGGGGGAGCCCTCTGGACTCACCAAATGGCTCTGCCTCCTCTTTCCAGCCCAAATACTCACTTGGGATAGTTGTTGCAATACTGGGTGTAGATATCAAACTCTTGGCTCTGAGAAAGACCACAAATTATGATTTCAGGCTGTAAACCTGGCCGTACCCAAGGCAGGCTCCTGGCCCACAGAGCACACTGTCCTCCCCGCTCTGAGTGCCAGTGGGTCCATCTTTGTCCCCACTGGTCTAGGACACCCCATCCACCCAGCAGCCCCTGATTCCACCCCAGAACACCCTTCCCATTTGAAGAGGGGTACCCATCCTATTCCCTAGAGGTTATCCCCAGGACTCAGATGTCCTCACACGCTGGAGTTTCCTGCCCCTCTGCCCCGAGCTCCCAGCAAGGAATGACGGGGGTGGGGGGTGGGGAGTGGGGAGGGCAAGGACCCAGCCCTTCTTACCCTTTCCACAAAGCAGCTGGCCACAGCCACAGGGTCACTATTGCAGCTGTCCAGGTCTCTGAGGAGCTGGCTGGGTGAGGGGAAGTGGCCATCAGACCCCGGACAGTCACTGCAGTCAGCAGGATGCCTCTCCAACCTCCGCCAGCCCAGACTCACAGCCAGTCCTAATGCCATGCTAAAGACTGGGGACCCCTACCCTCTGCGTGAGCCCTGCCCCACGAAACAACCACGTAGAGTATCCAGTGACACCATAAAGACGGAGAGTGAGGGACACACTCAGCACGCAATAGAGGAAGTGAGGGCACCAGTACCCACCTCGGGAGGGACACGGCTCCTTTGTGGGCAGGGATCAAACACAAACGCAGAGATTAAGAGGAGAAGATGAGGAGGGGTACTAGCAAGGAACCGAGGCTTCCAGTTTGCAAGGATACAGGAAACAGGGAGAGTCAGAGTGAGTCCCAGCACCCCTTGTTCCTAGAAGGTGACGCTGCAGGAAGCCATTGAAATCCTCCTCCTTCCCAACCCCTCCCCTCAGCCTAAGTCTTGCCACCTCTCTGCCCTCCCAGGCTCTCCTGCTTGCATAGCCAACGGGCCATCTGCTCATGTGGAGGAGCCAGGAAAAAGGTCCTCCTACCCAATCAACACTGTCCCCTCAAGTCCTGCTTCTCCCAACCAGTGTCCTTTCCCAGGACAGAAACTCAGACCTTCAAGGAGTCCTGTTTACCCCAAGGCTGACCTTCTCCAGGCCTCACTCACTCCCCCTGGGCCTTGCCTGCCCCGTGCATTCACTAATAGGTCCAGTCATCTCCAGGGAGCAGGGCTTCCCTTGGGGTGAGTGGGAAGGTGAAGAGATGAGCAAGTGGGGAAGGAAGATGAGGATGAGGGAGCCACCCAGGGGAAAGAGCACAGTGTGGAAGGTCGAGCAGTCCCCAGAGGGGGTGCTGGCCCAGGATGGACCTGACACACACATGCCCTCAAATGCTCTCCCCTCGCCTGAGACAGAGCACGTCCACCCCAGAGCAGGCTTTCCCAGCTGGTGTCCAGTCTCGTGTGGAAAGCTAACTACACCATCATATAAGGACAGACCACCCTCTGCATCCTCAGAGGTCAGGCTCCAGGCCACATGTCACGGTCTGTGAGTCCAGGAACATCCAGGGCTCCTGCCCAGGTCCCAAGGTGGGCCTCATGGGCAGAACACAATAAGCACCGGTCCCACTCACGTACCTGTTCAGCGCGTAGATGCTTTCTATGTTCCCAAAGAGGGCGCTGACTTGTTCTGGCTTCAGCAGCCCAGGGGTGTCGATGATCTTCAAGAGGTAGTCCTGCACGGAGAGAGGCCGTCAGAACCTGGCCCTTCTGGTGCCATGCTTCCCTCCCCATCTCCTGCCTCCCTAGCACACCTCCTTTCCGCACTGCGTGTCACTGCTCTGACGCGATTTCAGACATTGCCTATGGTGCTGGGCTGGAAAGTGTCCACCGCAGATGCAGGTCCACTTGGAACCTCAGAACGGGACCTTATTTGGAGATGGGGTCCTTGTGGATGGCATTAGCTAAGACTCTCAAGATAATACCATACAGGATTTGGAGCCTTACAATCTCACAGCTGTCCATAAGAGGAGAGGACACAGAGTCTGGGATGATGCCTCTTACCGGCCAGGAGCACCGCAATTGCCAGCAACCACCAGGAGCCATGGCATGCACTGTCCGTCAGAGACTCCAGAAGGAACTAACCCAACCAACACCTTGATGCTGGGCTTTTTGTTTCCTGAATACCCCGAGAGATGATAAATGCTGTTGCTTTAAGCCACTGGTTCACAGCCATTTCCTACAGCAGCCCCAGAACACTAACCCAGACTTCTTCGATGGCAGCCACATGGCCACCTTCTCCCGTGTGCCCTGCATAGAAACACCTCACCCACCACAGTCTTGTGGAGGAGGAACCAGGAACACAGGGAATTCTGGGCATGGCCAAGACCCCCAGACCAGGAAACAACGGTTGCATACAGAGGCAACGGGCCAGGCCCAGCCCCCATGAGCATGCTCTCTTTAGAGTCTTCCTCCCCATCAGGCTGGGTCCTGGATCCCACCCCTAAGGTGGTGCTTATTCCCTGGGCGTGCAGAAGTTCTTTCTACCCAAGCTACTGATCTGGCCCAAGATCATCAGGAATGGTGAGGAATAAGCAGGGCTGGAGACCCGAGACCTCCCCACTACTCCATGGGAAGCAGGTCTTCTGAGAGAAGAAGTTCCTTGGGAGGATGGGGGTCAGGCTTGGGCTAGAGAGCCGAGCTCGCAGGGAGATGGCAGGTCCCTTCCACTCAGCACCCACCTCCACGATGCTGCGCAGGTCCTGCACGTACATGCGCTCTGTCTCCACGATCTCTCGCACCACTCGGCCCAGGTAGCTGAGCTTCAGGTGCGCAGGCCCTGTCGCTGCCAGGTTGTTAAATGGAGAGCGGGGCCCCTTCATGCCCAGCCAGCCACTGGAGTTGTTGTTGCTGTTGGGGCCATGCCGGCCACGCAGGGAGCCTGCCCCATTCTCGGCTATGGCCTCTGAGCCGTTGGGCTCCTCCATGGTACCGTGGCTGTCACGGGACGAGTCTGACGAGGAGCTGGTAGAGGTCAGACTCACAGGCCGCTCCTGGCTGCCATCTTGATGGAGGGAGGTAGAGACAGGCATCCTGGCATCGCTGCCTGGAGGGGGCGCCCCAGGGAAATTCTGTAGCAAGATAGATGGACAAAGGATCAACCTCTGAGTCCCTGTGGAAACCGAAAGTAGCAGGTGGCTGCTGGCAGCTGGGGAGGGTGGAATGGGGAGTTACAGTTTCATGGATACAGAGTTCAGTTCTAGAGGTGATAAACAGCTCACAGTGGGAGCCAGCCAGGACGCAGTGTAAAAGACCACACTCTGCAGGTGATCCAACATGGGATGCTCCGGGGTTCAAGTCCCAAGAACTCCTGGAGTACACCGGGTGTGGGCATGCTCCCAGTCAGGGAGAGCTGAGGGTGGAGCTGGTCTCAGGACCCTGATTGGGGTACTGTGTGTCTGTCTGTCTGTCTGTCTCTCTCTCTCTCAAAAAAAAAAAAAAAAAAAGTAAATGAAAATATTTAAAAAAAAAACAAGAAAAAGGGTCAGTTAAGAGGAAAATGGAGATGGGATTGTGGCGTAGCCATTCTCCCTGAGGGGTGATGTCTCACTTTCCCTCCTCACTCTCTCTCTTTCTCTCTCTCTGCCTCTCTCTCTCTCTTCTCTCTTCTCTCTCCAGCAAGCACACTTTGCCCTGCAGCGAATTAAAGATGAAGAAGAAGACGACGACACTCCATGGAAGGATAGAGAAATTCAGTTACACAAGGACGTGGACATACATAATGTTATTGAACTACACACTTAAAAATGACTGAGATGTGGGACTAGCAGATAGTGTAATGGCTACGTCACTGGACTCCCACGTAGTCGACCACGGTTTGAGTCCCAGACCCAGTGGCTTAAACACACACCGGGCGCCTGTGCATGCGTGCCCAAGATCCCGAGAGGAGAATGGAGGAGAAGGAATTGAGGCGTGGCCATCCCCCCCGGGGAGTGATTTCTCGCTGTCTCTGTCTCTGTCTTTCTGGCGAGCACACGTGCCCTATAACGAAACTCTCTCCCCAAAAATAAATAAATAAATAAATAATAAGGCTGAGGTGGGCCAGCTTTGCTATGAGTATTTTACTACAGTGTAAAACAAAACAAGCTGCATCCCAAGGGGGACCGGTCCCTCGGTCTCAGGTCTCCGGGAGCACTGACTAGGCTGCCCCAGTAACATTCCTTCCTGATTCCACAGCTCCACCTCCATCCTCCCCAGGGTGCAGGGAAGGTGGCCCACACCAGGGGACGATTCGGGCCTCTGCTGGTGCAGTGGGCCAGGGTGCCTCCTGAGGAGCCCAGAGCCCAGGCTGCTGCTTGAGCCAGCACTCAGCCTCTCAGCCAGCGCCTCCCTCACTTAGGAAATGAGCGTGGCGACAATGCTGCAGGGCTGCGTCCTCAGTGTCCTGCTGTCCGCAGTGTCCTGCTCTCCAGGAAGTGATGAGCACAGTGTCGGGCCCAGGTAAGTGCTCCGTAAACCATCAATACGATGAGGCATTTCCCAAGGGCCTGTCAGGGCCTGAGCTGGGGTCACCACACTGGGATGGGCAAAGATCCGACTCTTACAATGTTATGACAACACACACGCCCGAGGGGGATATCTTCTCTGGGACTGCCAAATCTCAAGGCTTCACCATGAGG